TAAAAACCTTGTTGTAAAAACCTTGATCTTTAAATCGGCTTCCTGTGGTTGGAAGGACACTCGATGTAGGCTTGGCCGAACCAGTATAAAAACTCAACGTTGATCTTTCTTATCCCTACTCTGTTACATTCAATCGATTATACTTTACACACATTCGATTAAATTTCCGCTGCATTGAAAATCTTTTAACTTGCGTTTCAAGAAAAGTATAAAGACATCTCTTTTGGTAAAAAGATTTTGAAAGTTTTAAATTTTATACTTCACCAATTCAGCCCCCCCTCTTGGTGTGAGAAATTGAGCCATTCTATTTTAACAAACCTATATTGAAAAACTTTTCTGAGTGGAATGAAGAGGAAAGTAGAAAAGCTCAATGTGATATAAAAGTTAGAAATATCTCTTCTACACTTACCATTGATGAGTTTTTTAGGGTGCCAACATGCAAAAGTGCCAAGGAAATGTGGGAACCGGGATAAAAACCTTGTGTTTGTTCTTGTTTCCTTATCTTTTTTACTTTCATTGCATACGCATATTACTTGGATTACAAGAAAGGTTAAAAATCATTCTAAGTTTGCAAAAGGATTTTAAAAGCATTTTGTTTTTATTGATCACCAATTTACCCTCTCTTAGTGTTGAGAAACAAGACTCTTCATTTATTCATGATTTCTTTTATTATGATAATAAATATATTTTCATTATATAGTAGTAATTAACGAGACAGAACAATGGCGATGGCTATTCCCACTATTTTGCAATTTTTTATTGTATAATGTATAGAATATAATATGAATCCTTCGATATTTCAAAAAAAGATATATTTAATATTTTTAATTATAATATTTTATTTTAAAGAATATTTTATCCTTTTTTATAAAAATATTAAATTTCTTACAATCGGATCCATATAATAATTTTTTCATAATCATAACTTTTTAAATTGGTCTCGTAAAACTTTTGGCTCTTTCCTGTGTCTAGGTCTTAAGTAATTTTAATATCAATTAAAAATAGATAAATTTCATGATACTTTTTGTTTTTTTAATAAATTTTAATTGAGATAGAGAACTTTTTTCAATTTATCTCTAATGCACGTAGTTTAGGATCTGGTTGCATTTTTCTGTGACCTAATATTTAAAATTCGATAACTTCATATTTTTCTTTAATCTTACTTGTTTGGATGCAGTACAAGTTTGGGCGCCTAACATATTTGTCATGTCTTACAATTTCAATGATTAAGTGTTGTTGATTTAGATTCTTGTTAATGACGTTTTCCAAAGAAAGACGACGTTAAGCTTTGAATTGACGTTAAATAAAAGAGAAAGAAATACATCAAACCCGATAAAAGTTGCCTGTCGTAGCTTTGTTACACCGCAGGTCGGGGCTTTTGCGCAAAAGTAAGATGATAGCATCATCTCACCCAGCAAAAGTCATGTCAATTTTCTTTTAACATTTAACCAAATCCTATATACTGCTCATGGGATTATCATATAGATGTTTATTTCTCAGCATATATATATATATATATATAACAGAAAAAAAGTTAAATAAATAAAATGTTACACTTGAAAATATAAAATAATTAATTAGATTAAAATAATTATTAATATGCTAATATAAATATTTAAGAAATAAAGTATATAAAATCTTTAAAATATGATAAAATGAAATAATTTCAGTGTTATAAATTGTTGTTCTAGTAAAAGAAATGGACTCGAGGTTTACTAACTTTTTAATGGAAAGATATATGGAAAAGTTTAGATAGCAGAGCACATATAGAAAAAATAAATGTAAAAAAAATTATAAGTAGACCAATCAATTTGGTCAAGTAATTGGTCCGAATCTATATAGGTAAAATTAAAAAAAAATCTATAGGATTAAAAATTTTATAGGATTAAAAATTTTATAGGATTAAAAATTTTATAGAGTTAAAATAGAAACAAAAGTTTCATAGGTTAAGTTCAACCTATAGGTTAAGTTCAACAAAGTAGTATGTGTGACTCAATCTCAATTTAAGATAAGTCATGTAGATCATTCGGGTTAGATCTAGGTCAAGTCATGGTTGAGTTCATATTTTGCTAAGTTAAATTGCATTCGCGTTGGACATAGTTAAGTTAGGTCAACATTTGACCAAGTTGTGTTAGACAAAAAATAAAGTGGATTTGAGTTCGGCCTATATAGGATTGAGTTGAGTTGTATGCTATCTCAAGTCAAGACGAGTCAGAAGCACCTCAAACCGAGTTGAGTAGGATCCACTAAAACCTAATCAAGTCAAGTTAGTCCTTTGTTGGGCCTTTGGTCCATACTAGGTCAAGTGGAGTCAGACTCATGTTTGATCGAGTCAAGTTAAGCCCACAATGTGTCCACTTCATGATGAGTCAAGTCAGGACCAAGCAAAGAGTTATGTCGATTCTTCCAGGCCGACAAACGTGACGAGTCATTCTTAGTTGAAGGATGAGTCAAGTAAGTCCATGTTAAATGTCAAGTCGAGTTGGATCATTTCAAAGGTAAAGCCAAGTTATCCTAGGTAAACAAATCAAGCTGAGTTGACCTAGGTTCAAGGGTAGTGCTAAGTCATCTCATAACTAGGGTGGAGCTTACTCAACATAAGACCAAGTTGAGTCGGTCCACACCTAAGTTAAGTTGAGTCTTTCCTATTTCAAGCCCCATGTCAAGCTGAATTAATCCTAGTCCATGGTCGAGTCGAGTTGTCATTGGCCCAAGTCGGGTTGATTTGGCTAAGCCCATGTTTACTCAATTTAACTTTCCTCGAGGTTGAGGTGATACATACTAAACCAAAGACAAGCCAGTTGAACTAGACCCAGGTTGACATGAGTTTGCCATGGTCTCTGTCAAGCCGAGTTGTCCCGAGTCCAAGTCAAGTTGAGCTAACCCGAGTCCAAGTCAAGCTGAGTTGACCCAAGTCTAAGGCAAGACAAGTTGACCCAAGTTCAAGTCAAGCTGAGTTGGACAAAACCCTAGTCAAGCCAAGTTAGCACAAGACAAAGGTTATGCCAAGTCAAATTGTGCCCATGTCTAGTCAAATTGGCTCTGTCCATGTCTAACATACCTAATAATCAAGTCTATTAGGTTTATTTGATTGGATTTAGTCTAATTTGTTAGAATCATGCAACAAAATAATAAAATCAAGAGGGGAGGATGAATTGGTTTCTTAATAAAACTATACTTAAAAGAAAAAAAGTCCTATTTTATAAATTGACTTTACAATTAAAATGTATTCCTTTTAAATAATAATAAGAAAAATAAAGAGTATAGGGAAAGAGACATTTACACAAGTAATTTTATACTAGTTTGGATCAAAAGACTCTCCTTCCAGTTGTTAATCTCTCTAAAGAGGGGTCGACACAAACACTAAAAATAAATTGAGATTACAAATAGAAGTAACAATTTAGAATAGAAAGCACCTCTCTTGAAGGCACGAGATGAAAGACATCTCAAAATCCACAAGGGACGAACACCTCCATTGAGTCCCACAAAACAATTTGAATCACACAAGAGATGAAGAAACTATTTCCTTGAATCCACAAGTAATGAACTCTTCCTTTGAATCATACACTAGTGCACTCAAGGGAAACTACATCGGTTATTTTCACCCATAGATAGCAGTTCTTGAACTGAGGCATATACAGGTGAGGTAAAAAGTCCACAACTTTATGCCTCGATTGTGAACCGAGGCAAAAAAGTGGAGGATTTCGCCTCGGTTCAAAGGGAACCGGTGCAGTAGATTTTTCATTTTTTTATTTTTTTCCAAGACTTTATGCCTGGGTTCCCTCTGAACCGAGGCAGTATAGTATACCATCCAATAGTATTTGTGCATCACATCTTGAAACCCATGACAAAATTTCAAAGTGAAAAAGAAATTAAAGCATCGGATGCAGGAGACCGTAACAATGTCCTTGTTGCAAGTGCAGACTAAAAACAATTTCACTAAAATGCAAGTGCAGACTAAAAAAAATTTCACTGAAATGCAAGTGCAGACCGTAACAGTGTCCTTGTTGTATTTAGGTGCTGCAACCTTCATAAGAGATTAGACAAATTTTGAAACCGTAAAGGGACATTCAATCAAACTCTAAACGTTCAACTTTAAAGTTACCCAGGTTGATTGAAGAACTACCACCTAAAGTATGAGTCAAAATACACCCATATGATCATAAACCTAACTAGAAGGAAAAATAACAACTAGCTAGAACAAGGCAAACTTCACTATACATTCTAATCAACTTTTCTATTTTATGTCAAGGATATAAGCTAAATACAGTATAGCTGAAGCTGCACTGGTTGAAACCTTCTCTGTTCAATTATCGTCCCAATGCATATCTAATTAAAAAAGAAGAAAGTCCAAATTTCAGGGCAAGCTATAGCTTCTTTACCATGTATTATCATGATATATGGTAATAAAAGAATGCTAAAGTCAAAAAGAAAAACAAAAAACTTAAACAACAAATCAACGGGTATGAAGGCAACAATACCACTTGGTCAGAGAAGTCATAAAAAATCCTCAAAATACAGTCTCCTTAAGGAGTGGAGCAAGAACACCTGTGATGCCCACCAAGCACGCAGTACTACAACAAAATAAACACAATCAATCACTCGCTTAAGAATCCAGGACACAGAACAAAGGGTTACTGTTTTCAATAGATTCCATTCATTAGTAGAGAAACATCAAAATTGACTTCAAGCATGTTGAGACAAAAAGGAAACTTGTTCTTGGACTCCATAAATACAAGGTATAAAGATAAGATTAAGCTCTCCAGATATTCCACAACCATAATTGGCAAAAAGCGAAAAAGTAAAAAACAAAGACACCAACTTTCCCACAATTTCGCATCATCCAAAGCAGAAGAAACTTCAATATAATCCATCTAACAAAGAGCAATGATAGTGCTATCATAAAGAGACCAAATTGAAAAACCCCTTTTTCAATTTACATACATGTACCTTTCTCCTATCACAAAAAGAGCACTTCATATTATCCCTTATCATTCAGCATGGCAGATAAACAACCCCAACTAAATGGTACGTATTACGGCCCCACGATTCCTCCGGCGGAGGCGCCACGTCCCCGCCGCCACAGAAATTGCTGTTGCTGTCTCTTCAGCATCTGCTGGAAGATTCTCCTCGCACTCATAATCTTCCTCGTCATCGTATTCATCATCTTCTACGCCGTGCTCCAGCCACAGGCCTTTAAGCTGTACGTCTCCGTGATAAATGTAAACTTTACTTGTATTTGTTACTTAAAATGTTGTGCTTTTGAGTAGTTTAAGTGTTTATTCTCATGAAAAGTATATAAATGTTGATGTAAGTATAGTTTTGAATGTTTAAATGTGTATTGATGCTTTTGTATGTTTATATCGAAGTAGAATAAGGATTGGATAATATCAAAGACTTGGAGTGCGTCACTCGCCCAGCCAGAAGGATCCAGTAGCCCAGCCAGCTGGAGCTCCTCGCCCAACGAGCCTGCACCAGTCGCCCAACGAGCCTGCACCAGTCGCCCAGCGAGCCGACACCAGTCGCCCAGCGAGAAGAGGCCACTCGCCTAGCGAGTGGAGGCCTGTCGCCCAGCGAGAAGTCACTTAAGGTCCTTTCCTTAAAATATCGCGAAACTGAACCAGAGAGAAGGGGGGAGACAGTGGGAACGTTGCAGGTCGCGACTAGCTCGTGTATGGGTGCTTCCAAGGTGCAAAACCACCACTTTCTACCATCCAATCCATCAATTATTGCTTTTGAGATGCATATGTGTAGCTAAAGCTCCATTTCACTGGGGTTGAGAGTAAAGTTCTGAAACTCTTTGTAATCTATCTGTTAATACATGATCTTGTATGAATTTTGTGTTCTATCTTGATTATTCATGCCTACTATGGAAATTTTAGCTAATTGAACGGTTAAATCATTGGAAAATGCATGAGACCGCGGACCTAGGATAGAACAACTAAGGGATTTCAATTCTAGACATAGGTTGGAACTTTTAGTCATCTGTGACATTGTGTTTAAGGCAAATATGAGAGCTGAATTTGCTAAGGGATTAGTGATTTCGTTTGAATGATTCAAAAATTGTTATATGAGGAATTAGAGGCTTGTATGCGCCTAGGATGTCGATGCTTAATTTTGAGGAACTGTGTTAGTAGAAAATTATGAGTGATGAACTTGAATGTCAACCTAGTGAACCTAAATTCGACTGTTTTTACCACTTTTTAAATCTGTATGCTAATCTTAAGTGTGTTATAAAAATACGTTTAATAATCGCTAAATTAGTAAAATTTAACAATCAGTGAATCTAAACAAATCTCTTGAGAAACGATATCCGGACTTACCAGTTTATTACTTGAACGATTCGGTACGCTTGCCGAGGTCTTAACACTCCGACGCCACGCTCACGCAATTCAACTACACCTCTAGCGACAACACGCTCCGTTATAACCTCGTCCTCAACTTCACGGCAGGGAATCCCAACAAGAAGCTGGACTTCTACTACGAGAGCGTGGAGAGCCATATATCATACAACGGCGTCACGTTCGCATCGACAGATTTGTTGACGTTGCGTGACTCGTTCCGGCAACGCAGGCAGAGCACGAACCTCCTGAACAGCGTTTACAGGGGGAATTACGAGACAGTGTTGGATCAGGATCAGGTGAAGACCTTGGAAGAAGATGAGAAAAAGAGGGTTTTTCATTTCTTTGTGAGACTCCACTTTGCCGCTTACTCTATTAGAGAATGCGAGCAATGGTGGAGAACGTATGCGATTAGAGACCACGGCGACGGAGGCGTGGCGAACGTGGCGGTGGAGACACGACGAGGGAGGCGCGAGCGATGGTGGAGACTGAGCAGTGGTGGTGGAGAGCAAAGTGCACACGAAGAAGAAAACAGTTAAGCAAAAACTGTTAAAAACCTAGAAAGAGCTCCTACTTCGGTTCTTTGTGAACCCGATGCGAATATGTTTTATATGCCTCGGTTTCACCGGCAACCCTGACCAAAAAGGTTTGACATGAAAGGTCAGAATTAAGTCATATAGGGAGAGTTATACGCCTCGGGTGGTTATTTAACTGATGTAATAGAGCAGTTATGCCTCGATTTCTCTTGAACCGAGGCCTATAAGTTCGCTAAAATTGCAAAAGTGCCATCGCGTTTTCATATGCTTCGGTTTTCTACAAACCGAGGCATATTAACCGCGTTAGTATCCCAATTTTGCACTAGTGATATAAAGGATGAATAACCTTTCCTAACAACAACAACAACACTCAATCACAAAAAACCTACTTGGTGAATGTTGTCGTTTTACCTACACTAGGTTTTTCAAAGCCTTTCCATAAAGAGTTCTCAAATACTCAAACTTCTCTAACTTGTGTATTTACAAATGAAAGTCTATCACTTTACTTATAGAAGTCGTTTTAAAAATTAGGTCAAGAAATTGAAGAGTTAAGAAATTGAAGAGTCAAGTCACAACTGTTGATGATAATCGATTATTAGAAGTAATAATCTATTATTATAGAAACTTTTGTGAAAACATTTTTTTCGCTATGAAAATCGATTTCTAGTAATGAGAATCGATTATCACAAAGACTCTTATGAAAATTTTGATTTTAATTGGATAATCGATTATTATGACATAACTTTTATGAAAAATTAAAAACTCTCTCAGTGCTCTACTACTTGGGTTCTACATTTTGACTCTTGGCCTACTAATATAAGTATTTTAAATAAGATACACAAATTACAAGACTTCAAAAACTAAAGTTTGTATCTCTTAAATCCAAGCATTCTTTAAGTCTTCAACACTTTGCCATGAGTCATCATCATCAAAACTCTTTATTGAAGCAAAATGTCCATCTTCTTTTGTCGACAATCTCCCCTTTTTTTATGATGATAACAAAGTTTTGAAGACTTGTGATATGTCATGTTTTTAATATAAAAACTTAAGAGAAAAGAGTAGTTAATCTAGAAGAGAGATAAATAAATTTTCTCCTTTTTTTTAAAAATAAAAGGTTCTACCATATATCAATATAATCATATATCTCCCCCTTAAAGAGGTACAATTTATCACAAGATATCAACACAAATATATCTCTCTTTTTTTATCATAATAAAAAAAAGATCTCATGATTAAAGAGCTCCTCCTAAATCACATAAAATGGAACTCCCCCTTAATTTGCCCATTCATACAATACCAAATTTTGGAACACCCAGAGAGACTTTCTTAATTTTGAAATCACATGCAAGTCATTAAAATAAAAGTTTGGTCTATGAAAAAAACTTATCTAAGTCCTTTGGGGTTAGCGACATGTTACTTAATTATTGGAACCCAAACATATCTTCCATTTGGAACATGAACATGTTTTGTTCTACATTTATTTGTAATGTTCTCCTTTTTCCTATAGTAAAAACATATTATACAATCAACATTCCTAGAATAAGACTTACCTTTTTCTAGCCATATCCTACATGGTATTTTATTCTTATTCTGAGGGGCTTGCTTATTTTTATGAAAATCATCTTTCTTAAATATTTTCTTTTCAACATTGTCAACTTTTGAAGCATTTGGTATTGATCTTTCAAGATTAGAAATCTTCAATTCATGCTCCATAAAACATTCACACTCAACAAAAACATTTCTACCGTCCTCTAAAATTGAAACTTTCCTTTTTAAATTTTCTTCTTCTTTCAAAGATTTTCCAAAATTCTTTTGCAAGGCTTTATATTTTGATTTCAATTTTCTTTGTGCATGTTTTAATTTTTCAGGTTCAACATACAACTCTTAAAAAGCACAAAGTAATTCATCATAATTATTTAACTTACTAAACATACTAGAATTACGAACCTTGTTGCAACTTGATTCATTTTCTACTATCTAACAAATGTTGGCTTTTTCATCTAAACCACTAAAGCTTGATGAGGAGCTTGAATCGGTCTCCTACCGTTTCTTTTTCTTGAAGAACATTCTACCTTTCATCTCTTCACTCTTCTTAACAATTGGACAGTCTGCTTTAAGGTGTCTCAATTCTCCACACCCGTAACACTTCAATTTTGAATAACCTTGCATATTCTTTTTTATGATTTTTGTGTTGTCCTTCCTCTTCATAAACTTTGTGAAAATTTTCATCATTAAATCCATATTTTAATTTTTTTTCTTTTTTTCTTCCTCTTCGTCATTAAGTCTCCTCAACTCGAACTCATGTGTTGATAGGGGGAGCATAGTGTTAGCTAAACCCAATCCCTGTGATGTTGGTTTTTTATGATCACGACACATTGTTAATAAAAACATATGTGTGAGTACTGTGTGATATATAAGTTGAATGTGTACATGCTTACTGTGTAATATGCACATATTGTGTTTATCACATTTGTTGAACATGTTATATTGATTGATGCATACTATTGTGTTTATGAAGGGATTATATATGTGTATGCACAATACATGTTTTGATGATATGAAAACCACAAGCACAAAAGCATATCTACATGACTAAATCGATTACAGTGGAATGATAATCAATTAAGGTCATCAGATAGCTTGAGTTTTCGTTAAAATAGAATGACTCAATTTCTCACACTAAGAGGGGGGGGGGGGGTTGAATTGGTCAAATGTAAAAATAAAATCTTTTTCACAAAAATGATGCCTTGATACTTTTCTTGAATCACAAGGTAAAATATTTTCAATGCAGCGGAAATTTAATCGAAAGAATGCAGAATGTAATCGATTGAACAAAGAGAGTAGGGATGAGAAAATTCAAACACTGTGTTTTTATACTAGTTCGGCCAAGCCTACATCCAATGTCCTTCCAACCATAGGAAGCCAATGCATTATAATGATCAATATTTTTACAATAAGCCTTTTATAGCGACCTCACGTCAAAAATATAAAACACCTCTCTAACCCTCTAATCAAAATATAGGCAATACACAACAAGACCAGCAGCAAGAATCCCCTCTTCTGATGTCTAAACCCTTTGAGACACTCTCAAAGTCAAGAACGTCGCACGCTCTTCTTCCTACAATCACAACAGGGAACTTCAAACCAATCTTCATAAGATTTTAGATTTTGATCTCTCAATAACACCCAAATGTGCAAGTTGATCATCCTTTGAAAAACACAACAATCTTGCTCTTCAAGAAATCACAAGTAGATGATCACCACGATCACTCTTGTTTCTTGGAGCTTCTCTTTACTTTCTGTAAGATCACAACTTCTGCAAAATATATGAAAATGTTAGAATCACAAAAGTTCTCACAGAAATAAAATTTGTGTCAATTTATAGAATAACTCAGACGCATTTTAATCAAGTTAGTTACTAATGCATTCGAATATAACAATTCTATTATAATAGTTAGTAGTAGTCACGACAATTAATTGAATGCACAATTAATGCAGTCGACTAACATTTAATGCTTGGTCAACGCATTCAAAAATATGACTGTTAGACATTTATGTCAAGCATCTACATAATTTCAAAATAATAACTAACTTAATCGAATACAGTACGCATGCAATCGATTATTCAAGAGTGTTAAGCATAGTTTTGAAAAACTTTCTCTTTGAAAAGTCTCACAACACACTTGAAAAAGGTTTGTGCAAAGACATGAGTTTTAATCGATTCACCCCATAATAAAGTCGACTTAAAACTGTTGTTTTGCCACACATTTAAAGTTTAACGTAAGTGCTTGTGGTTTTCCTTTTCAACATCATATCTCATGCATTCACACATAAACACATTTGTAACACAGTGAAATGCAATGAACAACACAAACATGCTCCCATATATGTGATGGAAGCGCGCTCCGAGAAGAACTCCAAAGACACGATGCAACTCCTTCGAAGCTTCCTTTGACGAGTAATACACAGCGGAATGTTGACGAACCTCAAGATCGAGAGAGAATATAAGAAAACCTAAATGAGACAACCTCGCGGAAACCGTAGACACTATTGGTAGAGAGAAACCGAGAGAGAATCGAACCAAATCTGAGAAGGAACTCAGAGAACCAAAACCTAGATTGACAGAACCCTAGAAAGGGGAAGAAGCTAAAAAAGAACTGATTAATCAGTTCAAACCAAAGATTGAACGGTGTATAATGAAGATCAAATGGATTAAAGGTGTTTAATCGGTGGAAAATGGATTTTAATCGGTGAAATCGAAGAGAAATGGTGAAAGAGGAGAAGAACCGTAGGTTTTGATGTTCTGTGATGATGAAGCAGCAAAGATATGAAACTTACAGAAAAGATGAAAACGTGAAGATGTGGCTTGCGAGATGGAGAAATGCTCTCACGAGAGAGAATGTGGAGAATGGTGTGAATGACGCTTTGTGGAAAGAAATGCTGAATGATGTGGATGACATGCGCTTACGCGTGCACGTGGCTGCTACTGATGCACTGAGCAGTTGAAGATGTGGCTGTTGAAGGAGAGGTAGCATGGAGGGGAGAAAAACAAAAAGGGAAATGGAGAAAATGAAAATAGAGGTAGTGTGCCGGAAGGTGGCTAGAGGAAGTCCTTGGACTCTCTAGCCTTGACTCTCAAGGGAGAATTGTTTCTGGTTTCAGAAAAATCAATTTTCATTAATCTAAGTGTCAAATACAAAAGAGGAGATGGGTATTTATAGTAACCCATGCTCCTTGCAAGCTGATACACATATACAATAAAATGTAAAATTACAAAAGGAAAACATTGAGGAAGGTACGTCAAGCAAGATTGCATCAATATGCTTAAACAGATTTAACATAGTGATCAAAAGCATATAACATGTAAATATGGAACATGTAACACAAAATATACATGTCTTATTAATTATGTGTTGTCATCATCAAAAACTCAGATATTACTGAGATTGTGGGTTAAGCTAAACCTTTGCTCCCCCTATCAACAATCTCAACAGTTTTGAACT